CTCTGTGAGCTGAGGATTGATCATAACTCGTAAGTACTTGGCACGATTGAGCGATCAGAAACAGTGTACGAGCTTGGCCGAATTTTGCCGAATCGATCCGAACTCGATATGCTGGGATAGTTATTCACACGCTTCTAATCGAATTCTTTAGACGGAGTTCAGGCGAAAATCATTTCCATAAACTATAGCTGAAAATTTATAATAGACTTTGTAAGCAGATCCACCTATCGTTCATTAGGCAGTCACGTGTCTGTAGATAATACCATTTCTGTAACGAAATTAAAAAACTCTATATTGTCGACGCGTGTTAGAAAAGTCACGTGACTACCCTAGCCCCTTTTGCACGTACTCTTATGGTAATCACTTTTTTCGTAGGTAATAGCAATACTTACAACTTTCATTTGAAGCATTTTTCGATATTTTGAGAAAAAAAACTTCACTTTGATCTGGAAAACAACTCAGAAAGAACGATGATAAATTCTTAAAAAAAATCATCATTCATGGGCTTTAAAGAAAGTTATTGATTAAAATGTAACAAAAAAATTAGAAACTCATCGATAAGAGGAGTCCTGTCCTATTTCTACAATACTTTTTGAACCATCAGAGCATAGTGAGTGTCGATTTTCAGTGAAATTTTTTATCTTAAATTCATAATTTTTTATTTTTTAGTGTTAAAAGTTTGCAGAATTCAATGCCAAACATTTGTGATAGGAAAGTAATTATATTAACAATATAACAAATTCTATCCATTTTTATTGTTTAGAAATCAATTGAATGTTAACAATTAAACTTTTTTCATCCAAGATCATCGTTCTTGCGACGTCTGATTTTTCTTTAATTATAGGAAATGCGTTTTTTAAGGTACATAAACTTTTGGGATTAACTGTATAGCCAATAAATCCTTAACAAATAAAGTTGTACATCTTTGCATATTTTGAACAATAATTAACAAGCACGATATAAGCATTTTGATTACAAAGTAACATACTAAACTGATTAAACTTTTTAAAGGAAGTACAGAATAGATTACTGTATTAAATATTAATGAAGCAGCTGCAGAAATTCGAATAAACAAGATACTCCATTGTATGTTAATTTAATGAATGATGCATGAAAAGATAAATATTAATTTATGCCGAATTAAAAATTTCCGATCCTGTACATTTAGAAAACTGTCTAGGAATTTTCATAATTTTTCTTTCACACTCTCATTTGCATTCAATTTACTTATGCTTTACTGTTATTGATTAATTTTTCAAAGCCTTGAATGTTATTTTTGAAGTCCTTGACTTCAATGAACAGTGTCGTTATCATTTTCTTGAATAATTCATGACTGGCCGATGCCAAGGATTACAACACAGCGCATGAGAAATTTTTGATCTTTATAAATGTCATTAACAATAGAATTTTTTTAACGAAATTTCAATATCTGCAGTTGCGATTCTAGTACATTATCATTAATTTATGAAATCATTAATTCATAAAATAACGTTATACAGTGTGTTCCCTGCAACTCTATAGACAGTCCTGTCTTTCTAAGTTATGGACGGTAGACAAAGGTTTTTATGCGGAAATTGCACGGTTCAAGAGAGCACATCTTTTCATGAAAACCAATTTTTTTACGTGACCGTTTAATGAGATACGATGGTCAATTCGGAAATAGGAAAAAATCCTACCCATGGGAAAAATTGTGAATTTAAGAAGTTAAAAGAAGACAAAAATATAGCGTCTGAAGCTCTATTTTTTAATACCCAAAATACTATAATAACTGCTAGGAGGAACTACGTTACCATTTCGAGTTTTAATGTGAGAATCACAGATTGTAGGTAAGCTTCCCTACCATCAGGGGTAATTTTTAATCGCTTATAACTTTAAAATGGAGCCTCAGGTACAATTCTTTTATTCTGGATTTTCGTCTTATTTTGGCTTGTATAATCACCCCCAAAAATTTTTCCGCCAGTAGCCGAACATCATGTATAAAATATCATTTCCTTGAAACACTTAGTTATTTCATAAATTAACTGATTCAACTGTTTAATAATTTAATTCTAGATTCATTCGTCCTATTTGGTTCTAAATTCCATTTGGTTTATTCTTCACGAAAACACGATCTCGACTTGAACTAAGTCGTACTGATTTTTACATGTATTTCTTCATTAATTCATTTATTTCTCAATAACTCTCGACTCAATTGTTCGATTCATTCGTCACACTTGGTTCCAAATTCTATCGTGTTTCTCTAGAAAACCGCGATTTTCACTAGAATTAAATTGTACTGATTTTTATTTACATTAAATAATTAATTTATTTATTTCTTGACTCGATTTTTCAATTCATTCGTAGATGCTTCTAGAATATGCCGAAATACAGGGTGTTCCAGAACTAGTGTTAGGCCTTCAAATGGCGAGGCGCTGAGCTGATTTTAAATAACTTTTTCCTTTGCAAAGAAGTTGTCCAAGGCGCGGTTGACGAGTTATTAATCCAAAACCGGAACCAATTAGAGCGCTCGTATACTTGAAGATAAAACACATGGGCAGCAGTGATGTCTAGAGCAGGTCATTGACAAATATGGCCATGTGTTTTAGTTTCGAGTGTCAGGCTTCGGCACATTGACCTACTGAAATTCTTTTAGGAGCAGGTGAACTTAAAGACGAACGATTAATTTCAACTCTAATTCTTTTCCCATTTTTTATGCTTTACCTACTGTGTAATGTACAAAGTTGTTAGTTATCTCATTGAATATGTTGCATCCATTCAGTGAACATAAACGACTAATTGCTTTTTTTCTGATATTTAACCAATTTCTTAGTTACTCTTGCATGTAAGTTTTGTTTTAATCCTATGTTTTCGTCACGAGCGTGGCATACGGCCGCGACAATGCACGAGGCGGTTATCGCACTCCTGTCCGTCTTGTATATGAACGCTCTGGTTGGTCGGTAATTTTTGTTCATAACTCGACAACCACGTTTCGCACTACATTTTTGCAAAGGAAAAAGTTGTTTAAAATCACCACAGCTCGTCCCCATTTCCAGGCCTAACACTAGTTCTGGGACACCCTGTATAGTCATCATCATCAGAAAGGGCCTGTTTTGGGTATAAAAGGATGCTACACCTTAGCCCTTTGGATTAGTCTTGACTTAGATCGCTGGCACGAAAAAGCGCTATCTCACCCCGTAAGTCCTTTGTAAGTGTGATGACAGGACGCGAACCTACGTCAAAAAGATACGTAGCAATGGCTGGCCTCGAGTCATCACCCCTTTGCTGTTGCCGCCGCTGGAAGCGCGTCTTTTATTTACGTACTTCAACATGAGACGTACATAGCTTTTGATTTTTTTCGCATTGACGCACCAAACCTAAAAATCTCGAAGCGTCGAAGACTCCGAGCCTCGAGGAGTGAATTTAAAATTCGCTTGCCTGACAGTCAGCACGCACACACGTACGTACTGCGTTACTTGACACGCGCCCCTTCTTTTAGAAAATGCATGAAGCCGGTTGCGAGATGGGGCGCTTGTAGACGAATACCCTAGGCACAAGCATGGCAAATCTTATACGTGCATTTTCAGCTCTTTTCAGCGTGTCCACTTCTTGAGGGGAGTAATGCGGCGCAGTCCCCTCCTAAACTACGTCTATTTCTCCTCAAATAATGGACATTGACACTAAAGGCGGTAGTGAGCACTATCCACTTTCGAACAAAGAAATTAGCAATCTCCCTCTTCATCTCTTATTAGGATCATCTGCGCGTCTTTACTATTCCTTAAACCAGGACTGACCTAGTCATACGTAAGTACCTATACATATATATATGTATATATGGATAACCGGAATATCTCGCGAACGATACGTCTTAGTCGCTCGAGACGTATCAACGAAGTTGACCTGCCAAGCCGACAACCTTGATACTTAGTGGCTAAAGGAGATTGACCTTCCCTCATCGTCCACATCCTGCAGCTACCGAGGCTAACACTGATTTAGATTAGGATCGTCTGCGCGTCTTTACTCTTCCTTTAAACCAGGCCTGATCCAGTCATACTGTCCTAATTACCTAGTAGCTAAAGGGGCCTGATCCTCCCTCGTCGTCCACATCCTACAGCTACCGAGGCTAACACTGAGTGTTAGATTAGGGTCGTTTGTACGTCTTTACTCTTGCCCTAAGTAAATCCGACTGACAATGAGTCGACATATTCAGTCATCCGTCGGGCCCTTGGCACGGTTCGACCTCGTAACACTTTAGTTGCGGTTCGACCTCGTAACACTTTACTAAGAAAACCGCAGTTTTCACTAGAACTAAATTGTACTGGTTTTTATATGCATTTATTAATAAGTAGTTTTATTGTTCAACAATTGTCGATCCGATTTTACGTTCCGACGTTTGTAAATATACTATTCTATACATAATATGTATACATAATACATATAATATACATAAATTGTACTGATTTTTGTATAGATATAAATGTAAAAAATATAAATAAATTATAAATATAGCATTGTACAAAAATTGTCAGCATTGTTAGGGCCCTCGCAAAGCATAACGCGAAGGAATGAGGAGGACTCAGGACATACTTTGTCCGTAATGTTAAGAAATTATGGAAGTATAGATAAGATAGAAAGAAAATACCTTAAACTTATCAATGACTACCTTTATTACCAATAAACGTATAAAATATAAAAAATGATAAATCTAAAACTGCAAATGCATAGTCAAATGCAATTACGATCGCCACAGCCCCTCTTCAATTGCGTCTGTCCATCGTTTTACGTCATCTTCATTATCTTGAATTTCTTTCAATCGTTTCTGCCAGAATTTAGTGGTCGCCTCCTTATCATCGCTCTTGGCTTCGGCTACTGCTTTTAGCTGCAAAACGCGATTAACAATTTTGCATTATACTAAGATAACAAATATATTTTCCATTTTTTGACTGCGAATTTTATACATTTACAGAACAATTGAAAATATAATGAACACATTACTGCATAAAATTATTTATATGAAGCATCAAATGTTACTTTCTTAATGCTTAAAGGAAATTTAAATTACATTTTTGTAATTGATACCACAAAAATGATTTATTGTACATAA